GGCTCACACCTGTAATCCCAGCACTTTGGGAGGCTGACGTGGGTGGATTACCTGAGGTCAGGACATCGAGACCAGCCTGGCCAACAGGATAAAACCACATCCTACTAAAAATATAAAAATTAACTAGGTGTGGTGGTGGGTACCTGTAATCCCAGCTACTCGGGTGGTTGATGCAGGAGAATTGCTTGAACCTGGGGGGCAGAGGTTGCAGTGACGTGAGATGGTGCCACTGTACTCCAGCCTGGGCAACAGACTGAAACTCTGTCTCAAAAGAAGAAAGAAAAAAGAAAAGGAGAGAGGAGGGGAGGTCATGTGACGACTGAAGGGGCGGGGGATAATTGCTGTATTGTGATAACTGGCTTATTCCCTGAGACACTTGTGGCAGTGGGGGTTGTTGTTCCTGTTGCCCATTTTTATCAAATTTAGAACGACATTGATTACCCCAATGTTTTCCCTTTTTACATCTTGGACATAGGCCAGGTGGCTCTTTATCTGTTCTTGTAGTAGCTTGAGTAGTTACATTTTGTTTATTTGAGACTAGGCAATTCTTTTTTAGATGACCAATTTGACCACAATTATAACATCTTCGCCCAAATGTTCTAACCTGTCCTCCTAAAGCAACTCCTGTGATTGCTTGAGCCATAAGCATAGCTTTATGCATAGCTCCTCCAATTCCATCGCAGGCTTTAACGTACTCTGAGATTACATCTGATCCTGCGGGAACCCTTCCTTTTAATGGCTTAATGGCTGATTGACAATCAGGATTGGGGTTTTCTTATGCCGTCAACTCCACTATGACCTTAGGGGCATTCTCATCGGTAATTGACTTTTGAGCAGCATCTTGAAGTCTTGCTACAAAATCAGGGTAGGGTTCTTTAGAGCCTTGTCTTATTGTATTAAAGGAGGGGCAGGCGGTTCCTGGGTCTTGGATTTTCTCCCAGGCCCTAAGGCAGATAGCCCTGATTTGCTCAATGGCTTCATTTGACATTATTACTTGTTGGTCAACAGTGCTCCAATTTTGACCTGTTCCTAATAGTTGATCTGCATCTATGTTAACTGGAGGATTGGCAGTCCTATTTCTTCGGACCTGAACTTGTGCCCCATCAATCCACCAAGTCTTAAATTGTAAAAATTGAGAGGGTGAGAGTGAGGATTTTGCCAGAATCTCCCAATCATAAGGAATGAGTCTATGTCCATGAGCAATGGAATCTAATAATGTTCTCATGTAAGGAGAGTTGGGTCCATACTGTTTTACTCCCTCTTTCATTTCTTTTAGCATTTTTATAGAAAAGGACTTATATCTGGCTTCAGCTACGAGAAGCTCTCCCTCTTGGGCCCCTTCTCCAGGTGGTCTTGCTTCTAATATTACTGGGAATTACCACACTTCAATATCTCCTTGTTTTCTTGCCTCATCAATAATTTTATGTAACGCACTACCCTGTGTACTAGGCGGTGCTGTAGGATTAAGTCTCATGGTGGGCGGCTGAGGATATGGTGCCCTGCCCTGTGGCACTGGAAATGTTCCTGGCTGTCCACATGGATTTTCTGGGGGCAGCCGATACCGCAGTTCAGCTGGCGGCCAGTATTGATAGGCTACTGGCGGCTGGGTCTTATTTTCTACCGGCTGATATTGTGGACACTGCATTTGGAATGGCATTGCCATGATAGAGACTCTATCTTTTTCTATTTGATCTTCTTTTGGAGTTTGTACTTGTTTAACCTGCATTTGAGGTTGTAAAGTTACAGGAATCTGAGCTGCTGGAAGAGGAGTTGGCCATCGTGGTCTAGACTCTGATGGCTCTGCTAATTCTGGATTTTTTTCTTCTAATTTTAACGTTTCAGGATATACTACCTCCTGTAATTGATTAATGTCAACATTTTGCGTTGACCGAGCCATAGCCGGCTCTGATACACATTCACAGTGTGAACTTTCCTTTCCTTTCCGGGATTCTATCCTTGCCTCTTTTTCACAATCTACTGCACAGCTTTTAGGGACATCAGAAATTGGAACGCTATCTTCTTCTGTTTGCAACGGTTCTAAAGCTACTTTAATAATGACCCAATAATTCCATACTGTAAGGGGAATGATTTTACCTTCCCTACTTGCTTGTTTTAATTCTTTGCCAATTTTTTCCCAGTCTTTTAGATCTAAAGTTCCCTGCTCCGGAAACCATGGACAAAACTGCTCTATTGTTTGAAATAGCGTAGTTAGATTTTTGGTAGAGACTTTAACTCCCCCTCTTTTTAAGAGAATTTTAATAAAGCTGCGATAAGAGGCATATTTACTCATAGTTTGCCCCATTGTTACCCTAGGTTCTTCCGTGCGCACAAGCTTACCACAAGGCTGACTTTAGACATACTCGGGAGTCTCTCGTCAACTTGTACTCAATGACCATGCTCCAGCGTACCTTCACCTTAGAGAAAAGCTCCACGTTGGGCACCAGATGAAGGGGTGGCCTGCCCCTCCACACCTGTGGGTGTTTCTTGTAAGGTGGAACGAGAGACTTGAGAAAAGAAATAAGACACAGAGACAAAGTATAGAGAAAGAAAAGCGGGACCCAGGGGACTGGCGCTCAGCTTACAGAGGACCCACGCGGGTCCCGGTCTCTGAGTTCCCTTAGTATTTATTGATAATTATCTTTACCATCTTAAAGACAGGGGAGTGGCAGGACAATAGGATCAAAGAAAAGAGGAAATGGGCAGTAAGACATATGAACAAACACCTCTGTGACATGAATAAGTTCAAAGGAAAATGCTGTGCCTTGAGATGCATATGCAAACATCTCCATAAACCTTTTAGCAGCATTGTTTCAGCCTATCACATGGGGAGAAACCTTAGACAATACCTAGCTTTCCTAGGCACAGGTCCCTGCGACCTTCGGCCGTGTATGTGTCTCTGGGTAGTTGAAATTAAGAGAATGGTGATAACTTTTAACCAGCAAGCTACCTTCAGGCATTTGTTTAACAAAGACACATCCTGCACAGCCCAAAATCCATTAAACCTTGAGTCACCGCACCACATGTCTCTTGCAAAGGACAAGGTTGGGGGTAGGGTCACAGATTAACAGCATCACAAATACAGAACAAAATGGAGTCTCTTATGTCTACTTCTTTCTATATAGACACAGTAACAGGCTGATCTCTTTCTTTTCCCCACAAAGACAGAGGCAGAGATTGGAGTCATACTGCCCACAAACCAAGGAACACCTGGGGCCACCAGTAGCCAGGAAAGGCTTGGGGAACAGACTGCTTCCTGGAGACTTCAGAGGGAGCATTAGTCTCCTGATGCTTTGATTCCTAACTTTTAGCCTCCAGAACTGTGAAAATAAGTTTCTGGTTTGAAGGCACTCAGTTTGTGGTAGGCTGTGTTATGGGAGCCCTAGGAGGCCACTACATAGGGACTCAGGATTAACGCCTCAGAGTCAGAAGAGGCTGGGGTCCCAGGAACCATGGGCTGCCACACTCTGGTCTGATTATCTCCAGGCTTGCTTTCCATGACAGAAAAATATGCCTTCAGCTGTGTACGCAGTTATGGGTAAGCAAGTTTGATTACTGTTTGGGGACAGGGTCCCACCTGCTGCCCACACACCCCGGCGAATTTCCCTGACCCCACTCCTCAGGCAGGCAGGGTCTCCACATCAAAGAGGGGGTGCCTGAGGCTGGCTGCCTGGGGGGCCCTGAGTGCAGCTCTTCCTGCTTCTCTTCGAGGCACCCCGATGGGGAGAAGGCAGTGCCGCAATTGTCCTTTCTCAGCTGAGGACCTTTCCCACCCAACAAGGAGAGCACAGCCATGCTGCAAGGACAAGAGTGTCTTTATTGGAGTTAGGACTGGGGCCTCTATAGGGGCTTCTGGTTTCTGGGCTGTAGGTTTGTGGGGTGTGGGATCTTGGGTCAAAGGTGGGAGACTAGGGCAGGGTATCAGAGGGTGATATCATCCTCGTACAAGGACAGCAGCAGCAGGACGGTCCAGCCGCCCAGCAGGCCCACGTTGTGCAGCAGAAAGAGGAGCCAGGGCCGTGGGTCCCGTACTTTCAAGATGGCCGGGAGCTGAGGAGCAAGTGGGTACCAGGTCAGCGCCCCTGCTCAGCTCCGCTGCTCAGTTCCCGGCCCAGAGCAGCCCCTCCCCTCACCATCCTGACCATGTCGCAGAGTGCCACGTAGAGGAACAGGCCGGTGGCCACTGCCAGGATCCAGACCTCGCTCTCCTCGCCGACTCCAACCGCGAGTGCCACGTAGAGACCCGCGAAGGCCGTGAGCGCAGAGGCCAGGTTCAGCACCAGCGCTTGGCGCACGGAAAGCCCCGCCTGCAGCAAGGCCGCGAAGTCCCCTGCGGGCGGGTCCACATCAACAGCTCCGCCCTCCTATTTACATGCCCCGCCCACCTCCTTTCGGTCGCGCGCTCTTACCACCAGGCCCCGCCCACCTGTTCCCGGTCTCCCCGCCCAGCCCCGTGCGGCCCCGGCCGTCTCCTTCCAGGCCCCGCCCGCCGCTCACCCAGCTCGTGCGGCAACTCGTGGCAGAACACCGCCAGCGAGGTGGCCAGCCCGGTCTTCCAGGAGGACGCGAAGGCGGCGCCCACGGCCAGCCCATCGGCGAAGTTGTGCACGGCGTCGCCCAGCGTGATCACATAAGGCAGTAACCTCAACTCTGCGGATGCAGCGGCCGTGGGTTCGCGTGGCCTGTCCCCGACCGCCAAGCCCCGGGCCCCGCTCGCGCTCCACACAAACCTCAGATCCCCCAGCCCTTCCGGGGTCGCCCCCTGGGCTCACCTGGGCTCAGTCTCCTGGGCTCCGGCTTCAGCAGCTCCGGGCTCTCCTCCGCCACCTGGGAGGAGCCTTGAGTAAGTCCCGCCCAGAGATAGAGGAGGAACGCGGCGGGGCGGGGCCCCAGATCACCGCGGGAGGCGGGGCCGCAGGCCTGGGGTGGGGCTGGGAGTGTGGGCTTGGGAAGGGGTCTGTGGGAGGGGCTCCGCGTGGGGTGGGGCATCGGGCGCCCACTCACCAGGTCCGCGCGGGAGCCCTCGTGGGGCGGCTTGGGCTGCCGGAGCTCGCTGGGTGCCAGCTGCAGGGACACGCCGTGGCTGTGGCCGCCGTGGCTGTGGCTGCTGTGGCCGCAGGGCCCGTCCTCCAGATCCTGTGAGGGTAGCTGCTCAGCGTCCGCCAGGCCCCCAGCACACCCACCCGCCGGGTACCTTCCCAAGAAGCCTGACCTCCGGGTCCCTGGGCAGCAGGAGGTTGAAGAGGTTCTCAAACAGGAAGAAGGCGTAGAGCCCGGCCAACATAGCCAGGAGGCGCCAGGTGGGCTGTGAGCTGAGGCCCTCTTCGCTGTGTGTGTGCAGCCCCAGCACCTGGGGAGTAGGGGCGCTGGGCTGGGGGGGTCACAGGGCGCCTCCCTCCAAGACCCAGGGAGAGGGGTCAGGGGTCAGGGGGTGGTGTGGGTAAGGGCCCTGGGAGGGCATGGCCTGGGAGTCCATGGTGGGGAAGGGAAGGCCAGGATCGGGGGGTTGTGGGGGCAGACCTTGGGCATCAGGTGCAGGACAGCATCCCCAGTGAGTGCACCCACCGCCAGGCTCAGGCAGGTCTGCAGGATGTAGTGGGTGACCCCCCTGCAGCCAGTGCAGGTCAGCAGTACGAGGCCAAAAACCGCGCAGAGGCAGATGAGCAGTGTGGCCAGGGAGCCGTACAGATACCCTGGGGGCGGGTGAGGTGGCTGTGAGAGCTTTTCTTCCAGACTCAGCCCCTGCTTCCCGGGCGTCACTCACCAGAGCTGCAGGCGGTCAGTGTGGGCCAGTCCCTCACTCAGGCTGACGCTCCTGCCTCAAAGCCCCACTCCCCTCCTGGCGATGCCACATTCCCCTGTGTCTGCTGTTTCAACTTCCAGGCCCTGCTCCCTCTCTCCATCCCTCACCCTCGGCAGCCACTCCTTCCTCCCTATGTGGGCCCCACCTCTGCACTGCCAGCACAGTGCCAGGGTGGGCACTCACTCTCTGCCTGGCTGAGCTGGTCCTGGACGGGGAGCCTGGGCTGGGAGGTGCAGGCTCCACTCAGCTGCTGTTGCAGCAGGGCAGGGCTCAGTTGGACCCAGGCCTCCGGGGTCACCCCAGCCTGCTCTGACAGTCCATACACAGCCATCACGTCCCTGGCACTCAGGCATACCTGGGGAGTGGCAGGACAGGCTCAGGGGCCTGAGCAGACCCCAGTGGGACCCCATCTTACCCCAGGGCACAGCTCACCGTGTCCCACACACTGGAGCTATCGTTGGAGGTGACGAGGGGCACAGGGTCCTGGCCGCTGGCTCCCCTGTGCTGATGACTGTGGTCACTGTGGGCCTCCCTGCCTACCCCCAGGCGCTGCATCAAGGCCGACAGCTCTAGCAGGGAGAAGAGTCAGCACGGCGAGTCTGTGTGGGCTCCAGCCCTGCCCCCTAGGGACATGGAGGCTGGGGACTCGGGGGTGCCCCCTCCACAGCCCAGCCCAGGCCTCACCAGCCAGCGTCATAGGAGCCTCGCTACTGTGCTGCTGGAACACAAAGTCCACGAAGTACTGAGGGCTCGGCAAGGCATGGAAGCAAGACCCACTCCTGACGTGGTCCAGCAGGGCAGCCAGGACGCCACCGGCACTACCTGGAGCCCCCGCCCCCACCGCCTCCTCCAGCAGCTGAGGAATGTCTACGCAGGCCTGGGGAAGAGGGGGCCTCTGCCTCAGCCTTTGGTGTGACCTTGCATCCAGTTCTGCCATCCACCCAGCTGCCCCTGGATGCATCTCCCACGCCAACTACAGGATCTGCCCCCACCAGCCCCGCCCTTCCCTGGGGCCACAGCCCTCCCTGCCCGGCCCAGCTGCTTCAGGCTCCCACTCAGCCCTCTGGGTTCCTCCCTCGTGAGGCCCCTCCTGGGGCTCCTGCAGGCCCCCAGCTGCCCGGTAGTGAGCTCCACATTGTGAATCCCCAGCAGGAGGCCGACTCCCGGGCGTCTCCCCAGGCCCCCGGGCTCCCTGAAGGCTCTGCAGCCAGGCCTGGCCCCCTAGGCCATGGGGCCCTCCTCACCCACTCCCCTGGTCTGCCTGGACTGTCCCTCACCGTCTTGGGGGTCTGGCCGGCAGCCTGGGCCTGCATCCTCTGCAGCAGCCAGCTTAGGCCCGGGGTCAGGGCCTTGGGGCTTTCGAGCAGGGCCAGGAGATGGTCTGCACGAGAGGCCCAGCGGCCAGCCCGAGCGTCCTCACACGTGCCCTCGGGGTTGCTGAGGTAGAGGACGGCGGCGGCACTGAGGCGGGCAATGTACCTGGCCTCCAGGACCGGGCCTGGGGGCAGCCCTGGCCCCTCAGGCTCGCCCAGGCCCAGGGCATCCTCCACAGACAGGCACTGTGGGCAGAGACAGGTGAGGAGGGGCTCTGGGCCCACCAGGGAGGGGAGAGGCAGGCCTGGCCAAGGGGCTTCCCCACAGGCCTGTTTCCTCTCCCTCTCAGGTCCACCATCCTCTCTCAAACCCTTGTGCCCTTCTGTCTCCCCAGGACCCTGTTCTGCTTCCCCAACTACAGGGGTGCACGGAGAGGGGTCCCCAACAGTGGTCCCATCCCCAGGGGACTCCCCTGGAGCCACTGCCAATTTGATGGCTGGGGGCCGGCAGGGGGAGGTGGCCCTGGGGTCCTGGGGAGAAGAGGGACTGTGTGTCCCTGGAGAGGTGTGCCTGTCTGCCCTCATGAGCATGAGGGTGGGCTCTGGCCTGCGGGGAGGGCCAGGGTGCCCAGGTACTGCCGCCAGCCTCCTCCGCCTCCTGGAGTTTGCCCAGGGCCCTTTGCTGCCAGTTGGCAGGGCGGAGCGGGCGGGAAGAGGCCAGGGCTGGGGGACCCGTCGGGTGGGGCTGTTACCTTTCCACACGGCCCGTTGGCGCAGTGCACACGGTCCGCCAGCGTATTTAACAGGCCGCCCAGTGCCTCTTGATCCACAGCTCCCTGGCCGGAGGTGAGCAGGCTCAGCAGACCAGCAGGCGGGGGCGCCGTCGCCGTCGCTGTCACCGTCACCGTCACCACCAGCACAGCCAGCAGCAGCCCAAGCTCCAGCGAGACCAGGGACGCCATACTCAGCTCCCAGCGGGCTCAGTGAGTGTTGCTGTGGCCAAGGCCCAGTGCTTCTGGGCTGGCTGAGGGCGGCTTTGCTGGGGTTGTCCAGGGCCAGACTGGGGCTGGGCTAGGACCCGCCCGGCCCGGCCTGCATGAGGACCTCTCCCAGGTATTCCTGCAGAGCTCTGTGATTGGCTGCTGGAGATGCCTGGGTTAACCATTCCAGCGGCAGATCCTCCCCAGTAGCCTGAAGCCACTGCTGGTGGGGGGCGAGGGCTGGGCCCCTTCCCCTGGACAGGCAGCCTGGGTGGGCTTTTTTTTAGATAGAGTTTTGCTCTTGCTGCCCAGGCTGCAGTGCAATGGCGTAATCTTGGCTCACTGCAACCTCTGCCTCCCAGGTTCAAGTGATTCTCCTGCCTCAGCCTCCCGAGTAGCTGGGATTACAGGCGGCACCACGACACCCAGTTAATTTTGTATTTTTAGTAGAGGCAGGGTTTCTCCATGTTGGTCAGGCTGGTCTTGAACTCCCAACCTCGGGTGATCCGCCTGCCTTGGCCTCCCCAAGTGCTGGAATTACAGGTGTGAGCCACCGCGCCCGGCCAGCCTGGGTGGGCTTCTGTCCTCTTCCTGCTGCCCCTCAAGCTGTGGGGCAGAGCCGGAGTGTCCCCTTCTGGCTCTCCATCTGGAGGCTGCCTCCAAGCTGGGGGACGCAGAGCAGAGGTGCACAGATGCCCCCAGAGCCTGAGAGCTCCCAGGTCCATGCCTCTGCCCCTCCCAACAGAGGCTGCCCAGACACCCTTGGTGGCCCCAGTTGGGGTGGGGACATGAACCTCTTCCTGGGTCCTGGCCTATGGTCCCTGTTGGGGACTGCGATGGAATCAAAGGAACTGAAAAGGTGCCTGCTGCATCATGCTCTCTTAGGCCAGAGAAAGCCCCAGGAAGCTCCAACACAGACAACCAGGAAGACAGACCTGGGCCCTGGCAGCCACCTGGCCGGGCTTGGGGCAGGATAAGATTGGGGTAAGACCCCAGCTCTAGCCCCCGGGGCAGGGAGGCTGTGGCTCCCAGCCCTGCCCTCCCTGTGGGCTCCTTCTCTGGCCTTTGAGCCTAGAGGCCTTATCTCTACTGTGGTGGTGATGGCAGGAAGTCTGGGGGAAGGGGAAGGCAGATCTCAGGGCAGCTTTGCCTTCTGAAGGGGGAGTCCAGATGCAGCCTCCTGCCCGGTCCAGCCAGCCTGACCCTGAGTGTTGTGGGTGGGGCTGGGGTGGGGAGCTGGGTGCCTGAGGCCCAAGGACTCTGTCCTGCCATGTGCAGGGCGGGACGGGGCAGTGCGGGCATTGGGCCCAGTGTCCTGGGGTCAGGGTGCTTCCCCTGGCAGCCTCACCCTGCCAAGCGGCAGATCTCGTGGTGCCCCTCTGGCTGGGCCCACCCACAGTGGTATCCTTCTGGGGGCGCAGATGATTTCTGGGCCCCAAGACCATGACGGGGGCAGCTCTACACGCAGCTTGGAGATGTTGCAGTCCCAAACTGGCCCTTTCCCTCCCACACCACCCCAGGACCAATGGGCTGGCTGGAGGCCACCCATTCTAAACCAGGCTCAAGGGCCTATTTTAGCTTCAGGGCAAAGGTCTTGGGCTGGGCCTGACTCTGTGGCCTTCCTGAGCTGCCTCCCCAGTAGGCCTCAGTGCTGGGCTGCAGGCCTCCTCCATTCCCTCCATTCATGTGACCCCATCCCTCCCCACAGAAACTCTCCTCCACAGCCCAGGAGCAGCCGCTGAGGGTTTCAGCTGCCCGTGCCCCAGCCTGAGGCCGGCTTCCCCAGAGCAGAGGGGTTGCACTCTCCTGCCCCTCAGGCCCACTCTGTCATGCAACAAGCTCATTGCAATTGGCCCATCTTAAAAACAACACTGGTCGGGCACCTTGGCCCACGCCTGTAAACCCAGCACTTTGGGAGGCTGAGGCAGGTGGATCACTTGAAGTCAGGAGTTTAAGACCAGCCTGGGCAACATGATGAAACCCCAGCTCTACTAAAAATACAAAAACAAATTAGGGCACCCAGGCCGGGCGCAGTGTCTCACGCCTGTAATCCCAGCACTTTGGGAGGCCGAGGCAGGCAAATCACGAGGTCAGGAGATGGAGACCATCCCGGCTAACACGGTGAAACCCCATCTCTATTAAAAATACGAAAAAATTAGCCAAGTGTGGTGGTGGGTGCCTGTAGTCCCAGCTCCTCGGGAGGCTGAGGCAGGAGAGTAGCTTGAACCTTGGAGGTGGAGCTTGCAGTTGAAGGGGTGGTCTGCCCCTCCACACCTGTGGGTGTTTCTCGTTAGGTGGAACGAGAGACTTGAGAAAAGAAAGAAGACACAGAGACAAAGTATAGAGAAAGAAAAGCGGGGGCCCAGGGGACAGGCGCTCAGCTTACAGAGGACCCACGCCGGCACCGGCCTCTGAGTTCCCTTAGTATTTATTGATAATTATCTTTACCATCTTAAGGATAAGGGAGTGGCAGGACAATAGGAGGGCAGTAAGACATATGAACAAAAACCTCTGTGACATGAATAAGTTTAAAGGAAAATGCTGTGCCTTGAGATGCATATGCAAACATCTCCATAAACCTTTTAGCATTACTTCAGCCTATCACATGGGGAGAAACCTTGGACAACACCTAGCTTTCCTAGGCAGAGGTCCCTGCGACCTTTGGCCGTGTACGTGTCCCTGGGTAGTTGAAATTAAGAGAATGGTGATGACTTTTAACCAGCAAGCTGCCTTCAGGCACTTGTTTAACAAAGCACACCCTGCACAGCCCAAACTCCGTTAAACCTTGAGTCACCACAGCACATGTCTCTTGCAAGGACAAGGTTGGGGGTAGGGTCACAGATTAACAGCATCTCAAATACAGGACAAAATGGAGCCTCTTATGGCTATTTCTTTTTATATAGACATAGTAACAGGCTGATCTCTTTCTTTTCCCCACATTTCCCCCTTTTCTTTTCAACAAAACCACCATTGTCATCATGACACCGAGATTACATACTTCACAAAGTAATAGAATATCACAAAGCAAGTGGAGGCAGGATGAGATCACAGAATGGTGTTAAAATTAAAATTTTTGGGCATGCATAGTCATGGATAACATCTTATCAGAAAACAGGGTTTGAGAGCAGACAACCTGTCTGACCAAAATTTATTAGGTGGGAATTTCCTCGTCCTAATAAGCCTGGGAGCGCTACAGGAGGCCGGGGCTTATTTCATCCCTTCGGCTTCAACCGTAAAAGGCGGCACGCCTCCAAGGGGGTCGTTTATAGGCCTACCCTCAGAGCGCATTCTCTTTCTCAGGGCTGTTCCTTGCTGAGAAAAAGAATTCAGCGATATTTCTCCTATTTGCATAATGAAAAGAGAAGAAATATGGCTCTGTTCCGTCCGGCTCACCGGCGGCCAGTTCAAGGTTGCCTCCCTTGTTCCCTGAACATTGCTGTTATCTTATTCTTTCTTCAAGAAGCCCAGATTTCATATTGTTCAAACACACATGCTCCACAAACAATTTGTGCAGTTAAGGCAATCATCACAGGGTCCTGAGGTGACATATATCCTCCTCAGTTTACAAAGAAGATGATAGAATTAGGAGATTAAAGTAAAGACAGACATAAGAAATTACAAAAGTATTAACTTGGGAGAACTAATAAATGTCCATGAAATCTTCACATTTTACCTTTTTCTGCCGTGGCTTCAGCCAGTCCCTGCGTTCAAGGTCCCTGACTTCCCGCAACGTTCTCCCTCCCTTTTCCTCTATATAAATGTGCCATGGTGATGAAGGCTTGTTCGTTCTCTCGATTTTGACGCAGGATTTTTCGACTGGTCCGGCACACTAAAAAGCCGATTAAACAGAGACACATAATTCCAAAATTTACTGCAGTAGAGTTCCCAATAGACTTAATCCAAGTCGTGGGGTTTAATTCATAAAGATTTTTTGCCACTTGATCTAACGCCTCAGCTCCAGGCACAATATTCAAGTGACTTTGAGAGGCTTCAAAAATTTGTTCTTTTAATTTAGAAATGTCTAAAGTGAGATTATCTTCTCTTCCCTGTAGATGGCGTCTAACCATGTCCCAGTGATGTTTAGACTCATTATAAACTTGGGGTGTAATACAAAAATCTGACGTATTCCAGTCACACTGTAACTGGAAACGATGTTCCAAGCTCATGAGTGTATCTCCCATCCAAATGACAGTTTGTCTAAGATCATTAATTTGATTTGCCAATTTTTGATCGATACCGGATTGTGAATTCCACAACCTTGTGGAATTCTTTTGCCAATTGTCAACAAAGCTTACTGTCTGAACAGAAGAGTGCAATGCAACTCCTGCCACAGTGGCTGTAGCTGTGACTGCAATTAATCCCATAATCACTGCAATTAAAGTAAAAATGAATCTTTTGGATCTACTTAAAACGCCTTTTAATACTTCAGTCAAAATATGGATGGATGGTGAGGCCTCCCATGGTCGGTCCATGGACACAGGGATCCACACGCCTTCTCTTGCTCTCACCAGCAGAATACGGTGCTGCCAATCAAAAGTCGAATCAATCCAAGTAAACAATTTGCAATTTTCACAAGTTATAGTTTGGGAGTCTGGTTTAATAACTATATTTCCTATGACTAACATATAAGGGGGCTTTACACAACTTTGTAAAGGAACTGTTAGACTGGAATTTAGGTTGATAGAGTAAAATGGCTTATAATCTCTTGGTTCTGCCGGGCGCGGTGGCTCAAGCCTGTAATCCCAGCACTTTGGGAGGCCAAGACGGGCGGATCACGAGTTCAGGAGATCGAGACCATCCTGGCTAACATGGTGAAACCCCGTCTCTACTAAAAAATACAAAAAACTAGCCGGGCATGGTGGCGGGCGCCTGTAGTCCCAGCTACTCGGGAGGCTGAGGCAGGAGAATGGTGTGAACCCGGGAGGCGGAGCTTGCAGTGAGCTGAGATCCGGCCACTGCACTCCAGCCTGGGCGACAGAGCGAGACTCCGTCTCAAAAAAAAAAAAAATAAATAAATAATAATAATAATAATCTCTTGTTTCTATAGTTTGATTTCCAGACCAAATTCTAAGGCGGTATGAAGCCACAGTAAGCCTCCATAATTCTGGATGTTCAGGACCAAAAACAGGACTTATCATTTTTGGTCTTGGAGTAGAGATTCCCTTTTTTCCCCATATCCAAGGGTAGAAAGACTAATTTTTTGTGCTTCTGTTTGTCTAAATTTTCTGTTAAGTCACTATCAACAGTTGGACTCACTAGTGCACTGGGACAGAATTGAGTTTGTCCTGCGCAATTGTGGTAGAATTGACCTCGAGGTGCCCAATCTATAACAGTTCTGAATGTATTGTTTTGTAATATCACTGCACTATCGGCCACACATTCTTCCCAAACTAAATCTTTTGATTCTCTGGAAATCTCCTTGGGGCAAGGTTTCCCTTTTGGCCTAACTTTTAATGATCTTTGATAGGAAAAGTCTTGTAAATAGTTTACCTGTGGTTTGAGTGACATTCCGCTTACCATGTGATAAGTAAATCTACTGGTGGGACTGACAGTAGGTACTTCTACCAACCAATTTTGAATAGCAGGCATTAAACATCCTGGTGCTCTCCCTTGGCAAATAGGAGGATAACGATACCCGATGGAAATATTTATCATCATTCCTTCTTCCTCCGGTTTGGCAGGGTAACGATCATCTGTGGGACCAGGTACCCACACACTATTATTAACATATACTTCAATAGGATTATCCATCCGTGTAACTGCCCGAATTAAGGGCGGGAAAAGGCACATAGGCCCAGTAGGTATAATTAGCTGCAGCTGCTCCTGCAGGCATGTGGAGACTTACCACCGTTGATACAATCATTAAAGCTGTAAGCAGCATTTTTTCTGGGGTTTGTGTCACCTTTGTGCTAGCTAGGCTTTTTCCAGCTAACGGTGTCAGCTTCTTTAACTGTGCCCCGGTCGACAGCTCTGCCTTCTTGGTGCGTGGTGACTTCATCTGTTCTGATATCACCTCTTGGTTCATCATGCGAGTCAATGGTGCTCTATTGTGGTGTTTCCGTCTCCGTGGAGGCGCTTTTCTTTGCATCTCCGATGGGTTCATTGTAGAACTTCAAATGTCTAGTGGGTATCCAAACAGGAAGCTGATTTTCTCCTGGTGAAACACAAGCAACACCTCTACCCCAGGTTATCACCTTCCCTATTTCCCATGTCTTATTTTTGTTGTCTTTCCACCAAATCAGTTTTCCTTCATGTGGACTGTTCTTTTTACCAGTAAGATGTTGTTCTGCAAAAGTAGTAGTCTGATTTCTATAAATGTTTTAAAAATTTAAGGCCGGGCCTGGTGGCTCAAGCCTGTAATCCCAGCACTTTGGGAGGCCGAGGCGGGCGGATCACAAGGTCAGGAGATCGAGACCACAGTGAAACCCCGTCTCTACTAAAAATACAAAAAATTAGCCGGGCGCGGTGGCGGGCGCCTGTAGTCCCAGCTACTCAGGAGGCTGAGGCAGGAGAATGGCGGGAACCCGGGAGGCGGAGCTTGCAGTGAGCCGAGATCGCGCCACTGCACTCCAGCCTGGGCAACAGCGTGAGACTCCGTCTCAAAAAAAAAAAAAAAAAAAAAAAATTTTAAAGTATAGGGTGCTAGATTAAGCTGCATCTGAGGAGTGGTACACTCCTTACTGTCTCCCCCTTTTTTTTGTTTAACTAACTGAGTTTTGAGTGTTCTATTAGTTCTTTCAACTATGGCCTGTCCTTGGGAATTATAAGGAATTCCTGTTGTATGTGTAATATTCCACTGATTTAAGAATTTTTGGAAAGCTTTACTACAATAACCTGGTCCATTGTCAGTTTTAATTTTTTCTGGAACTCCCATTACAGTAAAACAAGATAATAAATGTTTTTTAACATGGGAAGTACTTTCTCCTGTCTGGCAGGCTGCCCATATGAAATGTGAATAAGTATCAACTGTTACATGAACACATGATAATTTTCCAAACGAAGGTACATGGGTAACATCCATTTGCCATAACGCATTAGGACACAGACCTCTGGGATTAACTCCTGCCTCTTGAGTGGGCAGGTGTAGGACTTAACATTGGGTGCAGTGTTGTACAATATCTTTTGCCTGTTTCCATGTGACATCAAATTTGTTTTTTAACCCTGCTGCATTTACATGAGTCAAAGCATGAAGTTCTTGTGCTTTTATGAATGCAGAGGATACCAGTAAGTCAGCTTGTTCATTTGCTATAGTTAAAGGTCCTGGTAAATTAGTGTGTGCTCTAATATGAGTAATATAAAATGGGAAATTCCTTTTTCTTACAGTTTGTTGTAATAAATTGAACAACTGGTTTAACTGATCATCCATGCTATATTTAATTAGAGCTGTCTCAACATCCCTTGTAGCCTGTACTACATATGCAGAATCTGATATAATATTAACAGGTTGATTAAAATCTTGTAATACTGTAATGACTGCAACCAACTCTGCCCTTTGAGCTGATTGATACTGAGTTTTGATTACTCGCTCTTTTGGTCCTGTGTAAGCCGCTTTTCCATTGCTGGAACCATCAGTAAATACTGTCAGAGCATTTTCTAAAGGTTCATGTCTGGTAATTTTAGGTAAAATCCAAGTAGTCAATTTTTTTTTTTTTTTTTTTTTTTTTTTTGAGACAGAGTCTCACTGTGCTCCCAGGCTGGAGTGCAGTGGCGTGATCTCGGCTCACTGCAAGCTCCGCCTCCTGGGTTCACGCCATTCTCCCGCCTCAGCCTCCCAAGTAGCTGAGACTACAGGCGCCCGGCACCACGCCCGGCTAGTTTTTTGTATTTTTAGTAGAGACGGGGTTTCACCATGTTAGCCAGGATAGTCTCGATCTCTTGACCTCGTGATCCACCCGCCTCGGCCTCCCAAAGTGCTAGGATTACAGGCTTGAGCCACCGCGCCCGGCCCCAAGTAGTCAATTTTAAAAACTGGAAGATTTTTGTTTTTGGGTAATGATTATCAATGATTCCCACAAAATCAGCAAGGCCAATCTGCCATGCATCAGAATTGATAAAGGCTTGTCTAACTTGTTCCTTGGTTAAAGGAACAACTATTTTGTGTGGGTCATTTCCACACAAGTTTATTATTCGCAATCTTGCCTGACCAATTAATGTAGCTATTTGATCCAAGTATAATGTAAAAGTCTTAATTGTACTGTGAGGAAGGAATGACCACTCCACAAGATCAGTATTTTGAATAAAGATGCCTGTTGGAGAATGTGTAGTAGCAAAAATCAAAAGTTGGAGTGGGGCTAAGGATCTATTCTACTTATTTGCGCTGACTGCATTTTTTCTTCCACTAATTTAATTTCTTTTGTTGCCTCTGGGGTTAATATTCTTTTACTATTTAAGTCTGGATCTCCTCTTAGGATAGAGAAGAAATTTGACATGGCATAAGTAGGAATGCCTAGAGTTGGCCGAATCCAATTAATATCGCCTAACAATTTTTGAAAGTCATTTAATGTTTTTAAAGTATCTTTTCTTATTTCTATTTTTTGTGGCTTAATTTTTCTATTTTCTATCTGCATCCCTAAATAATGAAAAGGAGCAGAGGTTTGGATCTTATCAGATGCTATTGTTAGTCCAGCGTTGGCAACCTCTGCTTGCAGAAATGTGTAACAGTCAATTAATTTTTCTCTTGTTTCTGCAGCACATAAAATATCATCAATATAGTGAATGATATAACAATCTGAAAATTTGTCTCTAACTAGTTGAAGGACTTGACCTACGAAAGTCTGACAAATAGTTGGACTATGAAGCATTCCCTGAGGTAGTACTTTCCACTGAAACCTGGTGGCTGGTTCTTTATTATTTATGGCTGGTATAGTAAAGACAAATTTTTCACAATCCTGCTCTGCCAGAGGAATGGTAAAAAAGCAGTCCTTAAGATCAATTATAATTAAAGGCCAGTCTTTTGGGATCATGGCCAGAGAGGGCAATCCGGGTTGAAGAGGTCCCATGGGTTGAATTATAGCATTTACGGCTCTTAAGTCCATTAACATATGCCATTTGCTTGATTTTTTTCTGAATTACAAATACAGGAGAATTCCAGGGTGAGAATGAAGGCTCAATGTGTCCTTTTTTTAATTTTTCCTTTGCTAATAAATGTAAAGCCTCCAGTTTTTGCTTCGGTAGCGGCCACTGATTTACCCATACTGGTTTTTCTGTTTTCCAAGTTAATGGAATGGGTTTAGGAGGCTCTACAGCGGCCGCCCCTAAAAAGGATACCCTATTCCTTTTCTTCCCTGATTTTTCTCAGTCTCAATTGGGACTTTAATGCCATTTTCATTTTTTCCTAACCCCTTTCCTGGTATATATCCCATTTTAGTCATGATTTTTTGACTCGTGGGGCTGTATAATGGAGCTGGCATAATGATTTCCGCACCCCATTGTAATAAATCTCGACCCCATAGATTAACAGGAATTGAAGTAATCATTGGCTGAACAGTACTTTCTTGATTATCTGGTCCTAAGCAATGTAAAATCATCGTACTTTCGTACACTTCTGAAGCTGTGCCTACGCCGACAAGTCTTGTAACAGCCTTTTGTTTAGGCCAATGTTTTGGCCATTGATTTAAAGCAATGACAGAGATATCTGCTCCAGTGTCTACCAACCCTTCAAACTGTTTTCCTTGAATAATGGCCTTACACACAGGTCTGCTCTCAGAGACCTGACTTGCCCAATATGCAGCCTTTCCTGTCTGATCAGTGCTTCCGAACCCTCCTGTTCTTTTTATCTCACTGTTTCCAACTTTAATATAAGGTAGTCGTAATAATTGAGCAATCCTGTCTCCTGGACTGGCACTCCAAGGAATTGAGGAACTAATAACCAATTGAATTTCACCTTTATAGTCTGAATCAACCACACCAATATGAATTTGAACTCCTTTTAGATTTAAACTTGATCTTCCTAAAATTAGTCCTATAGTCCCCTCAGGCAATGGGCCATATACCCCTGTGGGGATTTTTTGTGGAGGCTCCCCTGGAAGCAGAGAGACTGCTTGTATGGTGCATAAATCTAATGCTGCACTGCCGCTTGTGGCGGGGGATAACTGCTGTATTGTGGTAACTGGCTTATTCCCTGAGGCACTTGTGACAGTGGGGGTTGTTGTTCCTGAAAACCCTGAGGAACAAAGGGCTGAATTTGGAATGCCCCAGTTTGTTGCGGGGCCTGAGGCCGGCCCCTCCTCTCGTTTCCCGACAGTGGTTGCCCATTTTTATCAAATTTAGAACGACATTGATTACCCCA